GTTTTGTGAGAAAGGCAGTGAACTGCTTTTTCTAAGTTCGTTCCTTAGTTTCGACATGGCTTATTTTTATTCCATAAGTGGGCGGGATATACGCTAGAGTGATTAAAATGGTCTACTATTCATTCAATCGTGATTTTGAGTATACTAGCTTTGTGTTATGTCATTCCATTTATTTACTTGCGTTTTTAATCTTTTTTTTGTTTGTCGATTCGATTTTTGTCGTGGTGGTTTCTTAGCCTGGTTAGATTTCTGGCAGAATCTAATATGTGTTCTTACCTAATCGGATTAATGTTCGTGTTTCCTTGGTTTTAACCCGTGTTGTATTTTTGTAATGTCAAAATGTCCTGCACCTTGTCGTAAGTAATGTCTTTGATTCTTCATCTGACTACAACTTTGTTGAACATTTCTGGATGGTTGTTTCGTATTTTGTTTGTTCTCTTCATTATATGGTAGTAGCATTTTTAAATCCCCCTGATCAGTTATGTTGTTCTTATTTAGGTTGTATGTTCCTTGAAAAAATGCTTTTTCCTCTTCCTTGCTAAGCTTGTCTATATCTCAAAATATGGCTACTCTTTGGCAGTCTCTCCTAAACATATATGAATGCTCCTACTACTTCGTATATGAATGTTCCTACTACTTTAGTTTAGTGTAGGATTCTAGTTCTGCTTATTTTGATCTTTAGCTGGTTTATCTATGTGCATGTTTATTTGTTCGGGATTTGTTCTAGTGATATATACTTCATTCGTTTATTTCTTAGCTAACAATTGTTTCTTTTAATCATGTTTGTATATATTGGAGTTGTTTTTAAAATGTGAGGTTTCATTTTCTTTGCGGATTTCGGTTTAATCCCCTGTCTCCCCCATTATCGCCCTAATTTTGTGTCTTGCTAGCATGATCATCCTATTAAATGAAGTTTTTGAATATTGGCAGAATTCATCTTTTGAAAAGTCAAATATAGTTGCTTTAGTATTTAACAAAAAATATTTTAATACATGACCATTATATATTATATATGTGTTAAATCAAAATAAAGTTTGAATTGACAGGTGCTACTTTACGTTATTTTATATTATTAAAGGGTCCACTATTTTGATTGCAAACAATCTAGAGCTTGCATTGAGAAAATGATTAGTTTTGCCTGCTTTATAATATAGTATAATAATATAAAATGTAAATATGATATATTGGAAGAAACTGATTGCTCATAAAATTTTCATATTATTTCAATTGACGTGGTCTTTTCTTTCCATTACTGACTCTTAAAACAATTGGAATTACTAGTCTATTTATAAATGTTTGGTTGTACAACAAAATCAAAATATTTTATTTTATTTTTGTTCAGTTGGCTAATTCTGAAACATTACCATGGAGTAGAAAATTTTCATGATTTATTTGAGTTCCTTTCATTTTTGGAATAAAAAAGGGAGTCCATTAACTTTATTATTATTTTAAGGGTGATTTTTAAATACAGTTCATGTGTCCTTTATGCTATCTAGGAGCATGATAGATTTTTTTTCTTCTTCTTTTATATATATATATTCGTTGTTCATATGTATTGTTGCCAGTCATCATGTTAATTTGTTGTTTGAAAAAAATTTTAATGTGACTAAATTTGAGGATTCGTCTTCAGTGGTTATTACCCTTTATTGGCATATCTACTCATGAAATAAGTTGGTTAGTATTTGTTTGCTACGGATTCTAGATGTTCAAATAGTAATATAAACAATTACCACTTTATCTTTAGTATGATAGGTCTTCATTGCCTTGGGAGTTGGGTATCTTTTATCTAGATCTATGTCATTTCAATTCGATATGGTTATTTGCTATATTTTTATTAAATATCGGCTATGATTTGTTTTAAGTATTTTTTTTTTATTGTTTATTAATCCTTACCTTCTTTATTTTTTGTTGCATGTGAAATCTGCCTGAGTTTATCATGAACTCCCATATTTTTGCATTTTCGAAAGAGTCATAAAGGCTCAAACCATCTTTATCGAGTCAGCCAGCTATAAAAGTCGACAAACAGGTCTCGAAGATGGAAGGATGTGAAAGCGGAGGAGAATTGAAAAGATTGGGCCAAAGGCCCACTCTTTATACAAAAAGTGTATTTTGTTATTTTTTTGGCCTAAGCCCACTTATTTGCTATATACTTGTTAGTTCCTAGGACAGGTGAAAGAATTGGGCGTAAGGCCCAAAGATAAAAAATATACTCCTTTTATGTTAGTCTAGGACAGATGCAGATAACTCAAAAGGGCCAAAGACCCAAAACAAAAATGGGCCCAAATACTGGCCCAGACGGACAGGAAAACCAGATTTGGCCCAAATCTTTTCCCTCTTTGTTTTATCATGTTTATTTACTTGTTAATATCTGTCATTAATCTTAAGACCAACAATTCAAATCCCCGAAAGACGCTCATTTCGTTTTAACAATGTAACTAAACCGGTCATCTCTTGACAAGACTTAAACAAACAATTTTGTAAGATAGTCCACTTAGATAATATTTCCCCCTTTCCCCTTAAAAATAGTTCTAATTACAAAGCAACTCAATTTTGCAATATAAGTTAAAGTTAAATCATTTTAGCCGAGTAAATTAATTGTCGGATAACCGCATTAGAGGATATTCTAGGTGCCTTAAAAACCTTCCTAGAATATTAATAAGAACCCCCGAACCCCCCCTTTATATTTTCAAATTGATTCCTGTTTAATCGATTGAAAAAATAGTTTTCTTGATTTTTCTTTAAAAATTAAGTGGCGACTCTTAAAACCAGTCTAAATATATTTTTATAATAAAACAATAATTAACTTCAACCTAAAATGCTATAATCAGTTATGTCTTTTGTGGTGTAATACACGCGCAAGCCACGTCAACGCCACATCAATACCACATGTAAATAAAATATTGATATTCCCGTTATTTTTTCAATAGCTTCTTCCATTATTATTGCACAATTTACTCCATAGATTTCTGATTCAATTCACAATTCTAATGCAATTCAATTTTTTCCTCTTCCTAATGTTGGTGAAAATAGCAAACCCAATTCAATTAAACAAAATTTCTTCAATTGTGAAAAATTAAAAATTGAGTTTTTTATGCTTCCTTTTGAAGATACCCAATTTATGATTACGAAATTTAAGAATGGAGCATTTTTTCTTGTCATAATCACAAGCTGAAATTTAGAATTTGGAGGTTATTAGTGAACCATATAGTGAAATTAATGATATTTGTTCATCTGGTTATATTAATTTTGGGTCTTGATTTGTATTTTGTACAGAGATTATGTGGGTAGTACATATGAAAACTTGTTTAAGTGTGAAATTGTATTCCATGTTAGTTGGAGTCCACATTTGAGAGAAGAGTATGTAGTGGTATTGAAAAATGGAGATTTTATGTTTTTGTTTGATATGAATTCTTATGGAAAGAGTTATTTTTTTAAAAAAAATAATTAAAAAGTAACAACTAATTAGTAGATTTAAGAATTAGGATTGATGAAGAAATTTTGCAGAGAAATGTAAAATATATTATAAAATGTTAGTCAAAGTTTTTATAATTTGACTCTAAAAAAGGAAACTATGACAATTAAAAGTGAACGAAGGTAGTATCCACATAACTTATTCATAAATTATGATATTAAGACATAAATAACCAAGTTATACATATTAACTTTGACCTTATCCAGCTACCAAACGACCCTAATAGGTTACAAGAGTAATGGGAGAAATAATAGTCACTAACTAATTGAGTAAATTGGCATGTCACATGGAAATGGAACATATCAAATGGAGTCATCTGAATTAATTATTAAAATGCTCAACTACATTTTACCCCCGACAATTCGTACCAAGTTTAAAAGTTTTAATTTCTTGTACTCTAATAATTAATAGTATAATTCCGATCAGAAAGCAATTATGATCAACACCTAACTTCCTTAAACTCACTCATAAAAGCATGCAAGTGGGAAAGCAATGCATGGTAGCAGGACAACACAAATTATCTCAAAGTCCCCTTCAAATTTAATTTATAGAGCTACTAAATGACCACAATTTTGTGGCTCAAAAATGGCCACAAATATTTAAAAAGACCATACAAACCTTTTTTCTTTTAAATAAAGTTAATTTCTATTATTTTTTAAATTCTAAATGTAAATGCAACCAAAAGATTTATGTTGGGTAAGTTATAACATCTTCGTTCATCTTTTCTAGTATTTTATTTTATTTTTTCATCATACAACATATAGGTGTATCTTACTCAATATATGGTAGGAAACCTTGATTTAGTAGTAAGATACGTAATTATCAAATCGGCATAACATAAAGACACAACACTAACATTAGTGTGTGATTCACTTAGGTTACTGTTAACTAGGGTCGACAAAAAAAATTAGTCGTAGGTTACTGTTATCTAGGGTCGACAAAAAAATTAGTCGTAAGTTACTGTTAACTAGGATCGATAAAAAAAATTAGTCGTAGGTTACTTTTATCTAGGGTCGACAAAATAATAGTCATAGGTTACTGTTAACTAGGGTTGACCAAAAAAATTAGTTGTAGGCTACTGTTACTAGAGTCGACAAAAAAATTTGTTGTAGGTTATTGTTAACTAGGATCGACAAAAAAATTAGTCGTAGGTTACTGTTAACTAGGATCGACAAAAAAAATTAGTCGTGTGAGAAAGAATGATCAAATATACTCTTGTACTTTACGCGAATGATCAAATTTACCCTTACATAAATTTTACTTTAATAAAATTTCAAAAAAAAAAGAAAAAAATATTTTTTCCCGTAAGCCAAAAAGAGTTTATTTGTACCATTTATGTAACGACATGAGTGTATATGTGAACAAATTTTTTAATGAGGGATATTTCAATTCTAAATCGCAAAATTAAGAGATATATTAGTCCTTTTTTTCCTTTTTATAAATTTTGGATTTGATGTTGTTAGTGTACTTATCTTTCAATTCAAATTATAAACTTAATCTTCTAATTGTCAATTCAAATTTTATATTATTTATAGAATTCCTATGTGCAACAACTTCCCTCAAGTATATATAGTTACAACTTAAGACAAAAGAGAGCTATATCTCTTGTCTTGTTTTCTTCTTTAATTTAATATATGGAAAATTACCAATATGAGAAGAAGCCAAGAGTTATGTGCCTCCATGGCCATGCAACTAGTGCTAATATATTGAAGAAAGAATTGGAACTTGGTTGGCCACAATATTTACTTGATAAGCTAGATTTGGTGTTCTTGGATGCACCTTTTTTACTTCAAGATAAAGTGGATGCTCATGACATTTTTTATCCACCCTACTATGAATGGTTCCAAGCTACTGAGGTTCTTCTCCTTTATTGCTATTTTCCATTTTCTTTTGGATGGTCAATTAAGCAGGTTTTATCTTGAAATATTTGCCTTATAAATAAAAGCTAGAACTTGTGTCTGATAAGCAACAAAAACACAAGTTCTAGTTTTTTCTTTCTTTTATGATCAATTGAGTAGGTTCGTTATCTTGAAATATGTTAAACTTCTATCTTATAAGCAAAATTAATTATGTTCACAATTTATGCCTGATGAGTAACAACTAGCAAAATTGCTTAAGCGTAGCCTATTTTTAAAAAGAGCAACTTTCACATATAGCAAACATAAAAATCATATTTGTATGTTATAATTATAGTTTGCATAATTGCGCTCCATAGCAAATTTTATGTTTGCTATGGAGCTTTTGATTTGTATAATTCGCTAGATACATCACAATTCAATTTTATACAAATTGTTCAGTTTTGTATAACTTTATTTATACATTGTAATTTGTATAATAAGATTTGTATTTGTATATACACTTTTCTCTCACTTTATACAAACACAAACAAATTTTATACATTTGTATACCGGATGGGTAATTGTATACCGAAAATGACTAATTGTATATCGAACCAGATGGCAAAAAAATGGGATGTTTACTGCAAATTACAAATAAAATAAATTATGGCTATAGCATTATATTTAATTTGAATTAATAGTTTGCTATTTCATACAATTTTCCCTTTTAAAAATAATATAAATTTTGGCTTAGGCTATGTACCAGATACAAAAGTCTGGACAATTTCGGGTTCAATATATATTATTTTATTTTATTTGTTTTGATTTTATGATTTTGTTGTTAATTATTTTTATAATATTTTGAACGTACTTTTTAAATAATATATGTGGCACGTATGATATTTTGAGAGTTAGTCAATTTTTTATATATTTTAAGTACATAATTTTAAAATATTATATGTTATTTTCCATGTCCCAATTTATACGTGGCACATGTGAAATTTCAAGAATTAATCAAATTTTTAACTAAATTTAGGTTGATAATATTGTGCTTTCACTTTTTACATAGCTTAAATTTAAAAATTAATCAAATTAAATAATTTAACTAAATTTTTAGAAATGTATATTCAAATTCTAAATATTTTTTGCGAAATGTATGCTAAGGTTTGAACCGGAGAACCTTTGACATATGATGTTAAGCTCCAACCAACAGGTCAAGTAGCTGAATTTTTGGTGTAGCGCACAGCTGAAGGATACATGTTCGACGCATAGTTGTGTGCTTATTACCACTTACATATATTAGTAGTGAGATATGTGTCCAAAAAGTCTACTAAATAAGAACAAATACTTTAAGTATTTACCAAATAAATTTGATTGAGATCGTCAACTACGTATTTAAATTAATAAATTAAAATCTTAAATCTGCTTTCGCAGAGAAATATATAATAAGTATTATAAATCAAATTAAATATATATTTCAGATGACAGACGGTAGAACGGGGAGAGGGGGAGTCGTGCCCATTCTCTATCCGGGCACGAGCAGGAACATAAAAAATAATGCTCCGCCCAACCTATACAAGGTGCTGCTCGCTTTCTCTCAGCCACTAGTGGCTTATGTAGTGGTCGGCATTCCTACGTGTGCTTTGTCTTTGCCAAGTTGAATAAAGCAGTTCGACTGCACTTCAATTCAAGCCCTCTAGATTCTGAAATCGCAAATATTACGAGAGGACTTAAAGAACGATTTCAAATTAGAAATCTTAAGAAGGAAGTTTGAATATTTTTGGATGCTATATATTTATAGCTCATCAATTGCTTGGTTAGCCAAACTTCTGGTTAGAATTATCTACATACCATAGTTATAGCAAGTAAAAAAAAATTCAATATACATTTTGTATGAATAGATACATATTTTATGATAAATGAATAATATATGTTTTCATCAAGTGTCATAACATTATATTGTAGGACTACAAGGAAATTTACAATTTTGAAGAATGTATTCAATATGTTGAAGCTAACATGGTGAAGTATGGACCATTTGATGGTGTTTTAGGTCTCAGTCAGGTAAGTATTATTATTAATTTCCTTATTGCATTCAAAGTATTGAAAACACCATGAACTTGACGTAAATTATTGGTTTCATTCTCGAACTATTGACAGCCTTGATTAATTAAAAACACCTTTTACTTGACTAAATAAACTTAGATACACCCCCGATCTGTAATATGACATAGCAAGTGATCTCAAACTTTTGTAGGAGCATGTGACTCGTAATAAAAAGTCGAGAAAAGTGTTGAAAACACCCCTAAAGTTGACGAGAAATAAGGGCGTATTTCACTCATGTAGCATTTAAGTTCAGTTGGTTAAGTAAAGAAGTATTTTTAAGATTGTGTAGTTTGAGGATGAAACCAATAATTCGTACTGTTTTCAATACTTCTCTCGGTGTTATATAATTATATATAAGTTAATAAGAAATTTTATTATATATTTCTTTATGTGATTTTGATATTTGTTTAGGGAGCAGTTGTAGCTGCATCAATGCCTGGAATGCAAAGGGATAGAGTGGCTCTAACCAAAGTCCCAAAAATTAAATTTGTGATGTTAATAGCAGGGTCCAAATTTGGAGGAATCTCATTGGGATGTCCCAAGCTTGCTTCTAATGCATTTGCATATCCAATTGAGTGTACATCTTTACACTTCATAGGTACTTTTCTTGGGCCATTAAAAAAAATACATCTTAATATTTTTAATTAGTTTGTTTAAAAAAGAATTTTATTCATCACATTGTGTTTCAAATTGTGCTAACATCTCAACAAAGTATTAGAATCCACTCCAGTGATCTTTGCTTCAGTATTCCTCAATGGTAGTTTGAGATGAGAAGATAGTTAAATGTTTTTTTTAATCTATTATCGAATTCCCAATTACATATTTATATTTCATGGGAATCCTAGTACTCTCTTGGACAATATAAAATTGTAATTATAACAGAAATATAATAAAAATACTTATTACATATCTTTTGCTTCTTATTCTCTCAAAGAGAATGAAATGCACTCTCTATGTCAACTCAACACTAAAGGGATAATTTGTTCCATTTTAGAGTAGTACAGAGAATAATAGGATCGACCCCTCTGTAAAGTACAAGTATAGAGTTGAAAATCTAATAATAGACTAGGAGCGATTTGCCTTTTTACCCGTTCCATATACATAAAAGCTGAATTTCTAATTTTAGGACTACAAAAATATATTTATATTTACTTTGATTCTCCTAAGATAAAAAACTTAATTTAATATTTTACGAATTTTAATACTCCTCAAGTTGGTGCGTAGGAGAAATTTTATTTTGAGTCTCACATGCCATCTCATACTTATGGACGATTTTATTATTATAAAATAATAAATTGAAAACAACTTTATCGTATCAAAAAACATAATTATGATGATCATTTAAGTAATTAATTTATTTTTATTTTTATGTGTTGTACAGCTGAAAAGGATCCTCCGTCCCATATTAGTTGATCACTTTCCTTTTTACGCACATATTAAGAAATTATAAATAAACGGGTAGTTTTACCAATTCACTTCTTTGGAACTTTACAAACAAGTGTGCATAGTTTACCAATTCATTGCCTGTGAAGCCATGGGCTTATGGCTTCAATGCTAGTAATATTTGGGCTTATATGGGATTTGAGTGGGCTCGTATAGGCCCAGTAGACTATATGAGCATTACCACCCCAATTTAAATTAGAGCAACTTTCACATTTAGTAAACACAAAATTCATATTTGTATGCTATAACAAAGTTTGCATAATTGCGCTCCATAACAAACATATATATGTATAATTCGCTATACATATACAAAAAAAATAGTTGTATAATTCACTATACATATACAAAGAAGGGAAAATTGTATATAATAACAAACTATTAATTCAAATTAAATGCTATAAATATAGTTTGATTTAATTGTACCTCATAGCAAAATAGCAATAGTTTGCTATAGGGTACAACTAAATCAAAGTATATTTATAGCATTTAATTTGAATTAATAGTTTGTTATTATATACAATTTTCCCTTCTTTGTATATGTATAGTGAATTATACAACTATTTTGTTTAAATTATTAACCGGTTATAAATGTCAGAATTCATAAATTTAAATTTTGAATTTGCCATATCCACTCACATATGTACTTTTAAAGCCCTTATTTTCTTATTCGTTACCCCCTTTTTGTTCTTCCTTTTTAACAAAAAAAAACAATCGTTATAGTTCACTCCTATTCCACCATGACACAACTTCAATCGGAAAATATTTACTCGCACCATCAAAACACGGATCGTACCTAGTACATGTATAATTAAGCGAATTAATAATTAAGGTGAAGCGCATATACAGAGTGTCAATAAAAATATCTTTCTGCCAATCGCCATACTAAGAACATGAGCGGATCTACTCTAAAAATAGTGGTGCCCGAGAATTCATGGTCTGTCTACCAAATTAGGTATTTTACCTTGAGTGGGCTCGTATAGCCCCATTAGATTATATGAGCATTACCACCAGAGTTTAAATCATTAACCGGTTATAAATTTCAGAATTCATAAATTTAAATTTTGAATTCACCTATATCCTGTAACACCCCGTTATTTGAAAGAGCTAAAATTAGAAATAACCATTTTTGGAAAGAATGAAAATCTGAAATTTGGCAAGTTACGTTAAATATTAGTTTTTGGTCAACTTCAAACGACCATAACTCCTAGTACATGATGTGTTAGGTGGACTACAAGATATCAAATGAAAGGACTTTGAATTTTCTTTCCAACGCCAATGAGTTTGCTAGTTTTCGAGTTCGTATGAAAGAGATATGCCCGTTTGAAGTCGGGCTATCTGAATAAGGAAAGTCACCCAGATTTTAGAAGGGTATTTTGGTTTTTTTCATTACCCAATTAATTAAATCCGTATTTAGTAATTTATTTGGGGTCTAAATTGAATCGGTTCAGTTTACGCACTCAAATTTCACGCTAGGATTTTTAGAGAAAGAACTCAAGAGGAGAAAGGAGGAGAAAAGGTCAAGAATTGTCAAGTCCTTGCGATTTTGGTTGCGGAGTCTGCCAAGGATTCGATCCTAAGAGGTATGTGAGACTTTCATAGAGTTGGGTTCGTTCACCCACGCACCAATCATGTTTATTTCTTATTCTTTGCCCCCTTTTTGTTCTTCCTTTTTAACAAAAAAAAAAACAATTGTTATAGTTCACTCCTACTCCACCATGACACAACTTTAATCGGAAAATATTTACTCGCACCATCAAAACACAGATCGTACCTAGTACATGTATAATTAAGCGCATTAATAATTAAGGTGAAGCGCATATACAGAGTGCCAAGAAATTATCTTTCTGCCAATCGCCATACTAAGAACATGAGCGGATCTACTCTAAAAATAGTGTTGCACGAGAATTCATGGTCTGTCTACCAAATTAAGTATTTTACATATATATTTTTTTTAGAATTAATCTAATATTGTCAGTTAGCATTCATGTTCCAAAAGCGTTAAATGCTGAACTTATAGTTGAAATAATGTTGATTTATTTATCTAAAGGAACAAGAATTGGTTCCCACACTCACTACCTTTTTTTCTCGTGTCTTTAATAATGCACTCATATTCTTGAAATTCAAGATCCGCCACCGACAGTGAAAGGTTTGAAAAACTACCAAGTATGTTTCCATGAATAGTGTTGAGAAAAGGCAAAGAGTTAATGTTTTTTACTATATGTGTGGAAGCATGCATTGAATCATTTCATACAGTTACCCTATTTTTAGCACTGAATTGATTCTTTCTTTTACTTTTTAGATTACAAAAAATGGGGCCAAAACCTACTATGCACGTAATGGAAGTCATTGATAACCCTAAGCACAGTTTGTGGTACTTTAGGCCTAAGTTGCTCGGACTCGGGTGTGGGCGTACAATATGGGTGCGGATAGTCTTCATGATCTAAATTTTAAGATTTGGGAATATGAATCCATGCATGAATATTGGTGTGGGGATTCACCTAAAAATAATTAAAATATCTAAATATAGAGTTATAAAACCTAAATTATGAGATTTTTTGTGGAGAACTTGACGAGAATCCTAAAAGGAGATTAAAGGAAAATGAGTGATAGAAATTTCTATATAGCAGGTATTTCATTATCTTCAATTTTATCTTAGCTTTTGTATAGATTATTAAAATTGTCCGGACTTTCTCCATTGATTTCGATCAAAGTACCCAAAATTGGTTGATCAAATCGGACACAAATCCCACCCCCACAGCCATGTCTTCGTCAACATGGGGTGAGACTCCAAAAGTGAAAAGTCCGAGCAACTTAGCTTTTTGTAGTCCTCACATACTCCCAACCATTATTATTCTCCCTGTTTCAATTTATTGTCACGACCCAAATTGAGTCATGAGTGGCACCCACACTTAACCTCCTAAGTGGGCGGACCAAGGAATCTAAACCCTAACATATACCAATAATTCAACTAACGAATAACAACAATAACGCGGAAGCTCCAAAACTTATTAAAGTAACCAATCAAATAAACCTCTAAAGTCTATTACATATTATATATCCCCAAAATCTGAAAGTCATCACATCGAGGATATCTAATCTCTAAATACTAAGTCTAAGAGTATCAAAGACACCGAAATAAATGAAATAAAGTAATTTGTGTCCGAAAACTATGGACATCAGGTCATGACCGAGAGAATCCAACACAAGCTCGAATAAATAGCTCACCCTTAAACCTGATATACTGAGACTGGCTAGAGCTGAGGGCGAGTCAAAGTCGCT